ATGGAGTACTTTTCATAAAATGAGCACTGCTATACCTGTGCTATTCTTAGCAACACTATCAAACTCTATCGTTGCAACTGGGAGTCAACCATTTCATTTCGTGACTGTCAGCTAATTTGGCTGTTAACTGCAAGTTGGTTCCGAGTCTTAGAGCAGAGTGGGGGATTTTGACACGATTACGCCCGTTATATGCATGATCAAGTTATTATGCAACAAGAATTTATCATCCCGTAGTATCTCTCTTATTAGTTTCAGAAGGTCGAGTGATTACGATTTGTATAATGACAATCGTTAACTCATGTTTCGGTGAGATTACTACCACCCTTTAATTGGTAACGAATGGCGGACTAGTTACTAAAATCATGTTCATTCCTGGCTGCAGTATGAAGTAAATTTTGCCGTTAATTTCCATAGTATATAAAGCTAAAGTTCTATGAACGTGTGTATGTATGTATATATGAATTTTACCTATGAATGCATGTATTTAATTGGATATTAAATTTCGAGTACATATTTGCTTTTGAACGGATCAGGTATAATTTTGCATACATCTACTTTATAGCTCAAAATCGGTTCGTATTCTGTTCGCATTTTTCAGCCTTTTTTTGCGCGGAGCCAATCTGTGGCGAATCAGATTGGGTCATTATCAATAGCCATCAGATTATTAAAACAATCATATGAACGACGAACATACAATTTCCGATGGAAGTGCGTTGAAGCTGAGCGGTTGCTCAATATGGATTATCGAGTAAAACAGTAACTATAAGCAAACAAGCAGACTGTGCGCATGAATATCTCCTACAATGGCGGAGGAAAACTCTCAAGTCATTTGGAGCGTTATTGTAATAACCAGAATACTGCAGGGTCATATACAATACCGCTCATAACCTCTGCAAAAAAAACATGATTTCACTTAAGCCGTCGCAAAGCATCGTATCGTCATAATTTCTTTCAAAATAGATACTCAAACTCAGCTCGTCGAGAGGAATCTATTGGTTATCATGCTACAGTAACACGTGAAATGTACGGTCGTCATACGGTAAGAGGTCAACATCTTGATTCCATCCATGACTTCGCCTAAGAGGGTTTCTGGTGCGCTGATGAAAAATTCATCCATATTTATGGTAGCGATTTACTGTAAAGAAACGATAGTTATACGTTAGGAGGCATCATTGCTACTTGTCTGAAATATCGCCTAGAGAGATTATTTTGTATGCTGATCATGATCACTACCGCGGGTCCACCCAGTCTCCGCCTACTGGGGTCACTTGATACACCATTCAATTATCATTTATGCTGATGCTCAACTGTATTGATACGGCTTGTAAACCGCCCTCTCACAATACGAATCTATCATAGGCTACATTGAAATCCTTTGCTTGTATCTTTAACCTGTAGAGGACGACCTTCCCTCAGCAGCCAGAGGCATTTTTTTGTGAATTTTTAGTCAACCTACATAGCAGCAAAATTCTTCTTTGAACATTTGGGACTTGAAGTTGTTGCATCTCTAAATAGCACATTAAGCTTTCTAGACACATTTATAACGATCCATGGTCTGGTTCATACCGTATACCTATCGTATACCACAATGAGGCGACCACGCGGTACAGATACGTTATTTGTATTCAGCATTTTGATAAGCACAATAAACCACTTTCCAGATGAATTTGTGACTTTG